TCTTTCAAAAGTATTTTTCGTTCTACTCACAACTGTAACTTATATAATCTATTTAATTCATGTCTCAGGACAGCTCAAGAAAGCTCTATTACTCTAACTGCAGTTTTTTCATAATATGTATATATTTCTATTCGCCAATTATTAATCCAATTTGTCGCAAATGGCGTAACGTAAGTGGAGCTCGGTAGAACAAGTGAAATTTATAGCTGTCACGCGATCGCGACGCAAGGCTAGCCGCCATGAGCGAGCATGACACTGTCTTTCGATCCATTAGAAAAAAAACCCACAACTCAACTGGAAAATCTGGAAAACGCATCCATAATTTACTTATAACTCGTAACTGCTTTCGCCTGTTATTTAAGTAATGCGTTGTTAATTACAACTAGTTGCGCAGATTTACTAGCCACATAAAGAGTAGAGAAATCCAATGAATTATGTTTCTCTTTTATTTGTAATTTATAATTTTTTTTTTACTTAAAATGTTTAACAATCATTATTTCTTTTATGTTTTACTTAAGACTTCTTATGACGCGCGAAACATTCGCCGTACTGCGTGCAACGATGTTAATTTGTTTTCTCGTTTTCAAAAACAAGAGAGAATCACTTTCATTGTTTAAAACGACATTGTTCGGGTGTTACAATGTCGTATTGTTTTAAAATAAGTGAATCTGAAACAGCGTACGGTTAGCACAGGTGTGACTGGAGGACCCACGGCACTTTCAAACTCACCACAGCTTGTCTACCAGAGGTAAGATGAATCGGGCTATCCTCATTAGCATCTCCAAGCGAAATGTCCCATAGTGACGGACAAAAGGAAATCGCAATAAAACTATGTAACGTAACGATTACGGTTGACGTGAACTATAACTCTGCGTAATCTGACCTCGTTGGAGACAACAATGAGAGATTTTGTTTATTTGCCGGGCGGCCGCGGCCGGTCCCCATTCGCGATGGGCATTAGCGGCTTCTTGTCCCACTTATCATCGGGCCGGTGTTTAGCCGGTATTAGCCATCGCGGGTAACGGTTCCCGCGACCGGCGCCGTGCACGTGAAAATAATTCTTGACGCGATTTTGTAACCAATACCGTTACTCGGTTCCGGCCCTGTCGCTGACCTTATTCCTCGGCTGCGCACTCTTTATTTTTATATCTTATTGCCTGACACATTATACCGCTCTGACTCGCTTACCAGTTATGTTATTTTGAGTGCTATTTAAAGTGAACAGAGCGCCGTATCCTGTCCGTGAAGTAGTTTTATAATATAGGACGTCTATAAAATTTAATCATCGCTTCTGTTTTCCATTGCCAAGTACGGTGGCGGAGCTAACCTGTTGTTCATAAATCTTCGTTCTAGTAGTGTTTTTTTTGTGTTGCGTAATGTTGTTGATATATTTTCTTTCAGTGTGAATGTTGAGCCGTTGTTTATGATAAATCGCCGGCCGGCGGGCAGCAGCGAGCGTGAGTCAGCCGGCATGTTTGATTGAACTGATTCCGCGTAGCGTATCGAGTGGAGTGGACTTTCCAGCGGTCGAGCAAACAGAGCTCTGACGCCGCACACCGTGCCACACTGCGCAAGAGTTGTTTGGCAGCGCACTTACGTGGGCTGGAAAACACCGCGTCACCGCCAATCCGATAACGACCACCGAACGAATTGTAATTTCCTTTATGTTAATTTAGCCGGGAGTTCCTTTTATTGGATGACATGATGTTAGATCATCTTAATAACTGTTTGGTTTCTCATTACAAGGAAATAGTGCGCATTTTGTATTGTTATCATTGATATGTTTTGAAGTGCGCCGTTCTATCTGAACGTGACGCAAGCATAGGTACTTATTGATTAAAAAAATAAAAAGTTAAATGGTAAAAGAAATAGGCAATATATTTAAATATACACTGCCATTGATAATCTTTAGTAAATTTAAAAGTGGTAGTCGCATTTTATTTATGAAAGTGTATTAGTAAATGAATGGTGCATTTTATTTTATGATCGGCCGGCTTCGCATAGCGTCATGCTAATATCGCGTGCTACGTCACGATCATAATCTACGCAGAGCTCTCTGCGCGCGCGCCTCCGCTCGCTTCCTCATTATGTCGTAGTAATACTACTGCGCCATTTTGTGTATCTAATGTCTATACAATCAACAACAGCTTCACGTGATTTTTTTTATTATTACAAGAATTGGGGGTTCATTATGCAAATATTTACAAATTCTGTACATTTGACGAGGAAAATAATTGATTGAAATTGATGTTAAGAGGAAATTGCGCTACGGTGATGTGAAGCCGTGATTTTTGCCTTACATGTTAACATTATAATGAAAAAGTTGCCGCTTATGGTATTCATCATTAAAAACAACTTAATCATATCCGGCTTGGTTGAATGCAGTTGACCTTGCCGAGAGAGTTGCTAGGCGTATTGCATACGACCTGGCCGGTGACAAGTAATTGTTGAGATATGATTTTGTTGAGTGAAATTTACGACACATAGTTTAAGTAATTGTTGTTAATATTGGTAGCGATAATGTAGTGAGTGACGCATGCGCGGTTGTGAACGCGCGCCAGCTCACTGCGCGCCGGCCGGCCGGCGTTCGATGTAAACTGTAAACAGGCCTCAGATAATAATGTAAGTAGTCTTTATTTTGCAAGTTACTCGAATAAATAATGACGCAATAAAAAACGGGGGATTACTTAACAATAAAGGAATATCATTTGTTTAATAAACAGTGATTCCATTGATTAAGTTTTTTTTAGAAAAGAATTCTTTCTATTCAATAATTTCAAATACTGCAATAATCTTTTGTTAAATACCTCTACTTAAAACAATAATGCTTTTCAAAAATATATTGTTACTGTCTTTTGTCTTTGACTCTAGTAAGAGATATACATGGAAAACAAAGATGTGACGTATCTTAAGTAACGGGATTAAATAAGTAACGATGAATGGTAGAGTTATCTAAAATGTAAGAGTTGAATAGTATACTTTATAGCTAATTGTGGGGAAAGAAAACTTGAAACTAAGTCGGCCAACGATTAACGTAACACCGTCGACTACCTGTTACTGCGCCGGCGAGTGTAACGGTACGGTCTAATTTGAGTATTCAGCACATACTACCTGTTATGGATTGCCAAAACATGAAGCTAACACTTACGATTTATGTTGGTAGTGGTTCACTTTTGTTTTTCTCTAAAACAAAAAGCGGACACCGAAAAATGCAACAAGGTTAGTTACAAAAAGGTTTGTCTACTGTTATTCAGAGAACTTTTTTATTTTTAATTTAAAAGAGGTTTAACAGCAAAAAAAGACCTTGAATTGTATTAGGCAAGAATGTAATTCATTTAGATTTACTAGGTGATGAAATGGAAGCTAGAATGCACTTGTTTTATTTCCAAAGTTGTTAATGCGTAGCGGAAGTTTTCGTAGCGATTATAAGGTATCTTATCATAATGGAGTGCATAAATTAACTCCAACACAAAATGTTGATTTAGTTGTGTACGTGTGTATAGACATAATTATCCGATAAATAATATTATAAACGATATCGTCATCCCTGAAATTAAGCTGTTGATAGCAATTTATTGGCGTTAATTCTCGAATCCATAATTTTATCATTCATCTTTTTTTCCTAGTTTGAGTGATAAAGTGTGTTAATGTTTTGTTTTTAAATTATATTTACATTGTCACATCTGTACCACGTGCGTTGCCTTTATCAAATAAAAATTATTTATATTTCATACATTAGCAATTTTACGCTCGTGTTTGAGGTTAATACCTTTTATTCAAAAACATTTCTAATAAAAGAAAAACAAAATACAAGTTCTACAGTAGGCAACAATATTATTTTAATCTAGGTACAAAAACCGCAGCAATTTTTATTTAATTTAGTCATCTATTCCGCAACTTGTAGCTATCATAATAAAATGCAACACAGTTGCAATTGGTTGCAACAATGAGGTAAGCGAACTGCTGTATTAATAATAATAATGCGTCGATAAAGCAATTTTTATTTAATTAACTCGACCGATCTCATATATAAATGTGTGCAACGACAAAAAAGTAACGCGTGTATCACAATTGTTTAGAGCAACTTTTATTTGGTTATCTTTAAGGTTTTGAAATTGGAACGTGGTAACACAGGATTTAATAATCTCGATAAGCCGCGGTGCATGCGTCACGTGGCGAGGGGGGTGGGGGGATGATCGCACGTGGAGAAGGGTCAATAGCTCAGCGCTTTGTCCAAGCTCCTGCGCACGGCTTTATCCGCTACTTACTTGCGGATGAAGCCGGCTCGTGGGTTTATACATACAAAGAATATAAACATGATATTACGGAATGAACATCGTTTCAAACTTTTTTCAATTTCACAACGCCGTCTCCGTATTTGTATATGATAGGCTCTGTATTGCTCTAAGTTTTGTTTAATAAAATAAATAAAAATTTTATAAAGTAATTGATTAATAAAATTTAGATTGCGTGATGTAAGATTTCAAATATATTGATATATATAATAACCATTAAACAATCATAACATATAATTTGAATATTTCTTTTTATGTATTTCTGATTTTGTCAAGGCCCAAAAGGTCATCGTTGATGTCTTTTCTTAGAGCACAATGACGGTACCAAATTTTAATACGAAAATGTGGTAAATTGTGATTAATAATTGTAATTAAGGGAATCCCTATAAAAACAGAATATTTACCTCATGATTGTAATTATATTATTACGTCAATATCGTTCCCAATGAATCACGGAGCGCTTACTATAGTGTAATGTGTATCCTTATATTATCCACTGCATGTGGGTTTTTTCATATTTTTTTCTATGAGACCAGAAGGTATCTTAACTTTGACATTTTTGCGCTGAGATTTTTTTGTTTTTATGATTACTTTATGTTATGGATTAGAGGAATATTGAACACGAGAAACGGAACGCGCTACGAAGGTTCGTACACTTCGTAGCGCGTCGTTATCCGTAGCCAGGATGTAACGGAGTGTACTGACCTCTGCGCCGGGGGCGTGCACGAGCACGCGCATCTCGTCGGAGATGTGGTCGTGGGTCTGCACGTCGGCGCGCACCTCGCGCCCATTGTAGGTGAGGTACACGCGCTGCCCCGGCTGCAGGCGCACGCCCGTCATCCCGCGGAACCCGGGCCCGATCAACTCGGCGTCCCGGTATTCCCGCGTCATCTTCCCACCGTCGAACCGCACCGTGTACCGAGTATTCGGTGTCAGGTTGATGCAATTGTTGTTTTCCGGGAACGGCGCCGGCGTCTTCACCGCCTGAATCATTCCGGAATAGTATAGTCCGTCCTCCCCCAACGCGGCGACACGGGTCCCTATTATGGACCGCTTCGCCAGCCTTTTCCCCGTAGACATCGTTCCTTCAGTCCACTCTACACAGGTCACCACTGACGTTCGACACACGAGATCACTCGACGGCTTCAAATCGCCCGGCGTACGCGTTTCGCGGGGTAGCCGTCGCAGAACTTCAGAAAGTGACAATTTCGACGCGATTCGCGCTGCAGTTCCGGCTCTTTGATTGGCCGGGGCTGGTTGCGGATCTGGCGCGGAAACATAATACGAGGGCGGGTCCTCAATCGGGACAAAGGAGAATCCTTTCGCGATAGTTAACTTCGCACGTGAGCTCACAGTGAACGACCTCAATGAGCGCGATTCGGATGAGAACTGGCGAGCGTGCAGCGCGAGTCGCGGCCGCCGACACCGGCCGGCCGGCGCGGCGAGAGGGAGCGGTGACCGGCTGTCTCGCTCATTTGTTTTGATACTCAGCTGTTCGAGGGAAGGAGTAGGAGCGCATGGTGGCGAGTAGGGGTGAGCGAGAGAGGAGGTGGATGGGGTCGTGGAATATCGGCTCTGCTCGACTCGGCAGAGCGTGGGGCGGGTGCGGGGCGCGGACGGGCAGCGGGCGGCGGGCGGCAGCCGCCCACGGGCGACATTGAGGCGAGGTTCGCACGTGGAGCGCTAACGGGATTGCACAACGCACCTCGACGCCGCCGGTGCCCGCTTGCTGTTAATTCGTGACACAGTTTCTATTCGGATTCGGGGTCGATTCAAATGTCAAGCAGATGCACCCAGTTATGCAACTTGTATGATCCCGAGTGGTACGGCTGCGTACCGATCGAAACATTACCGTCATGTATAACAGATTCAGATTCAAAGTTGTTGATCATTAGCATTAGGTTAAGGTAACAATAGTTGCTAGAGCAATATCTTTGTGACTGTTAACATACGTACGATTGTTCTTAAGTAAAAGAAAATTATATACGTTGACAATACCATGTAATGTTTATTATATTTATGGGGATTTTTCGCTGAATATTGTATTCATCAAACGTATTCTCTAAAGTCAACATGCAGCAAATTGGCTAAATCTCGATTTACCTAAATCTAGATTCATCCCATACATAAAAGTGTAAGGTCCACTTGCTGAAATGTTGTAACATCTCAATTTAACTAAAAGTAGATGTAAGGTATAAGGTAATTAGAAAAGACATTAACGTTTTGACATTTTTAATGGGTTAACCCATAGAAAATTGTTTTCTAGTAAATTGTTTTCTATGGGTTAATTAAAGTTTTGTTGAATCTAGGTTAATCAAATTTGCTGCAAGTGTGCCGTAATCAAAAATATGGATTAGATATCCCTGTTATATGTTTTAATTTCTACGTCTTCTATTCATTTTCCCAAAATCTCACAACAAAGTTTGTTTCTTCCTTTATTCTAAAAGAAAACAAAGACAGAGTTTTTGCTTCAGTGGATTTAGTACGCAAAAAACAATACCTTTTATGTGTTTCTTCAATTTATTTCATTAAGCTCTAGTTGAGGTGACAAAATTAATAGTCATTATCAAAATTATAACAATACAATTACGTATAACTTCAATTAATACAGTCTGACTAACATATTTGTTATGACATAACCCTGCATTTCAATATACAATTATAAAATGTTATTATATTTTTATTTTAGGCATTTAACTACTAGATGTTTAAAACTTAAGCAAATTTTACAAGAAAAATTTAATAGGTGGAATTTTTTCTAGTAAAATTTTCTTTAGATTTTAACTATAAAAACTTATCATATTAAATCGTTTAATTTTGTCAGCTCTAATACTTCTCTTGACTTCTTTATTCTACTTGCTTTATATCATCAGATCATTGAAGAAACCTTTTACCTAAGGTAGAAGGTAAAATAGGTATAAAATAACTTAGAAAGAAGGTCCAAATGTTTTAAATTAATTCTTAAATGCAAATTTATGCACTTATAAAGGTTTTATTTAAGATTGTCAATCAAAATAGTTTTGTAACTAAGGCCGTGTCGTTTCATCTATAATTAAATTTAACAATAGTTAATGTCACGTCAAATACATTGTAAATATGTCAAATTTTGAGATGTGGTTGTTTTTCTCTTGTATTTTAACTATAGGCAGATTTAATTATAAATGAAACAACGCGGCCTTAGGTCCACTTATAGAAATTATGCTAATCGCAATTTAACTTAAATTAGATTTAGACCATAGAATAACGTCATATTGACAGAGACATTTTGATATTTTTTATGAGTTAAGTTTAGTTTTAGTATAATCAAAATATAACAATTTTTTGCAAATGGGTCTTAATACAATCGAAACTTAAATTAGCCATTACAGCTGATCTTTGATCTTTCTTCTATGATAATCAGATAAAAATGTCGAAAATTAATGGTTCACTATACGAATTACAAACACAACTTAAAAAGAAGAAGGGTAAGATTAAAATAACAATAATAAATTAACCGTGTGACTTAGCTGACACAATCAGGTTAATAAAAGCAAAGAAAAGAAAATCGCGGATTTATTTTTTCTCTTCGCAGGACAAGACTGTAAGGTTAAAATAAGGTAACAACATTGTTATAACATTTAGAACTAAAACTTACTTTGCAAGCATTTCAATAAACATTAACTTTACTTATTTATAATTTCATTCTAAAGTTATTAGGCGGGCAAAGGTGATACATTAATATAAATAAATAAATAAATATTTCCAACACTCAAACCAATTAGCCTAGCCCCAAAGTAAGCGCACTATAGGCTTATACATAAATGTTTTTTTTATAAGTTTATTTCCATACAAAATAACATAACAATTTTCACATTCTGACAATCTGCAAAAGAATTTGTCGATATGAGTTCTCTTAATTTTTATAGAAATTAAATAATGAAACTTACAAACTTAACTTCTTGTATTATTCATATTTTATACTAGAACAGTAGAACAGAGAGAACTCGAACAATATTAACATTATAAAACAAATACTTAGCGAATTTTTGGAGCCAAATTTCTTCTCTACTTAACTACATTCATATTTTATTATACTTATAAGGAAACCCATCAACAATGTCAGTCAAAATTTCTCACTCACATTTATCATATTCTCATATATAGTAACAAATTATTACTGACTTTGATATGAAAAAAGATGTGGGTATATATACCTACAAATATCTTATCATTAGTCAAAAGAATGGCAGGTATACCTTGCCGTTTAACTTGACATAAAAACTTTTTATAGTTTGTATTTTTAATGTTTTAAACTTTCATGGTCACTAAGAATATTGCTATTAACAGGATTGTTACCATGTACCTTGTTATTTAGGAGTCAAGTCAAATATAAAACATTAAAATTTTAAAAAGTTTTTATTAATAACAAGGTACATGGTAACAATCCCGTTAATAGCTATAATTGATTTTTAAACATTTAACTGCTAGATGTTCAAATCTAAAGAAAATTTTAGCAGAAGTTGAGAAGAAAATTTTTTTTGGTTCCACCAGCATCTTCCGCTATCCGGGCGGACGCACTAATCAATTATGCTAGAACAATTCTACCGAGACATGAATGGCCGTGTCAAATTTCTTTGGTACTAATGTCCTGGAAACGCGAGTTCAAAATCCTTCTGAAACCTGGACCGAATGGATTTTTTTCTAGTAAAATTTTCTTTGTATAAACTTTTGTAGAGATAAATAACTTATGAGAAAATCAATATCTTACTATGAAATCATAGGTATGTATAGGATATTTGTTTTTATTTTTTAAGCATTTAACTGCTAGGTGTTTATATCTAAAGAAAAGTTTATTAGAAAAAAATCCACGCGGACCAGGCAGCAGACGGGACTCGACCCCGAACCCTTCGCTATCCGGGCGAATGCGCTGACCATTATACTACCACAGCCCTGACAGCCGCGTCGAATTTTGCTCTAGCATTAGTCTGCAAGGCAGCGCCATCTCTTCGCATTGTAGTTGACCCACTATGTCAAATGAAATACTTTTACAAGTATTAAACATTGAAAGAAGAAATAGCAATTATAGTTATGTTTTTATATTTTTCTAGTAAACTTTTCTTTAGATATGTATAGAATATTATCTAACGATAATTGATTATCAAATGAACTCGTTAGGATTTAATCTACATATTAATGACGTAATTAACAAATTATAAAGACAAAGACATGCCCATGATAACGTCTTTTGTAAAAAAAAACATACATAATCTCATGACTTTCAGGTGGATGGTGGATGAAAATTAGTGTTTAAGCCGTTAAGACATTATGCCGAAAATTATAATTATAATCATAATTATAATTTTCTTACAATCATACGGCATAATATTTCTTTTTATCTACGTCTATTTTAATATTATAAACAGGTAAAATTTGTATGTGCGTTATGAATATACGAACAAATATTGAAATGTAAGAACATCATACCGATATCTGTATTTTCAGATGATTTCTAGTGGATTCGGTTTCAGAGTAGAATAGAGACACTTACAAAAGAAAACTGTCACCCAAACCAAACAATATTAAAGACTTCAAGAAAAAAAAAGATTATTCTAGTACTTGTATTTTTTTTTTGTTCCTTTTATTTTAATTTTAAATTCTATATGATTAGAATTCATATAGAATTATCCTCTATATAAATAGTTTCTGAAAATTAAAATGTTAGTGTCAGTTGCAATTTTATGAAAAAAAATCTTTCCGTTGTTTTTTCACCAACTTTAAGTCAATACGAGACTTTTTATGTTAAAAACAAACAAAAACATAGTACCTATATCAAAACAGAGACTGAAGCGATCCAAAAAGTTATGTTTTTGAGTAATAATAATATTTAAATATTACAATCTACGAGTATATTCATATTATAAAAGCGGAAAACACTTTACGGTTTCACGCCAGAACTAACCAGCCAATTTAAATAAACTATGTTTTGAGCACACTAGCTTTTGCCCGCGACTTCGTCCGCGTGAACTTAGTGATTCAGGCAGCAAATTATTAAATCTGCTTTGTCATCAATCTGCTTACTATTTACAAAATATGAAGTTAGTGGTTTTATATTTGAAAATACAAACGTGATTTTAAATTAAAAAAGCGGGACATTCTCTGCGCAATACAATCAGTGCAATTCAAGATCTAGTTATATTATCAAAATTTACGTAAATCTGGACGTGGCTCATATCGGTTTCGGAGTAGAACAGAGAAACTTACAATAGTATTATGAAAAACCTATAATGATAGTCTAGGATCGAAGTACTATAGCCGGTTACTTAACGATGTGATAGCTTTAGAAGCGGTTTGTCAGTATTAGTAGTAATAATTTCTGTGATATATTACCAGATGAAAAAAAAAACATCTTGGGAACCGGCAAAACTGTTGAATTTCGTTTGATTTTGGCAAAAACAAGGATTAAGACTTTTAACATACTTTTCCGATAGGCCCAAGGGGAACCTGCCAATGAGAAAAAGCGTGACTTAAATGGCCCTTAGTAAAAGTATCTGTGTACTACAGTAACAGTAAAAGGTCTGTTAACGACCAATTAGCG